GTGTGCTCCCTCCTCGACCACAGGCGGCCTCCCTGGACACACCGGTTGTTGGGGTGCTTGGGAAGGAGGCCGTGCCCCCATCCTGCTGGGGGATCCTGCAAGCAGCCGGTTTGCCACCGTGTGGACACAGTGCTGGACTGGATGGACCTTGGCTCTGATCCAGTGTGGCTTTTCTTCTGTTCTTAGGATTGGTGGGAGATAAAGGGAAGTCAAAACAAGTGGGTCCAGGATCAACCCAAGCCGAAGCTTTCTTAGAAGTGAAAATGACAAAACTGAGGCTGTCGTACTTTGGCCACATCATGAGAAGGCAAGACTCCCTGGAGAAGACCATCATGTTAGGCTAATTCAAAAGCAGCAGGAGAAAAAGATCAGTTACAACCTGGATGGACTCCATAAAAGAAGCCACAGCTTTGAATTTAGAACAGCAAACAGTGATATCATGCACGGGAGATTTTATATTTATATTTAGATTACTATATTTTATATGTACTTATATACTTATAATTTAGAATATATAATTTTATTATTTATAATAATATTATATTTTATTTATTTATTTAGAATATTTATATGCTGTCCTTTCGCAGAGCCTCAGGACGGCTTACATAAATAAATAAGAACAGAATAAAACATAATACACATAAAATCCGATCCAGAGTAAAACATATATAGCTAATATTAAAAGTTATTAAAATATTGTTGAAATAAAAAGGTCTTAGCCTGGTGCCGAAAAACAAATGATAGCACCAGGCGGACCTCTCTGGGGAACGCATTCCACAGATGGGGCGCCACCACAGAGAAAGCCCTCCTCCGGGAACTTTGCTTCCTGATGTCTCTCATGGAGGGCTCCCGGAGGAGGGCCTTTGCTGCCGATCTCAGGGGGTGCTCGGGCAAATATGGAAGAAGGCACTCCTTCAGGTATCCAGGTCCCAAGCTGTTAAGGGCTGTATAGGTGATAACCAGCACCTTGAATTGAGCCCGGACTTCGATGGGAAGCCAGTGAAGCTAGTAGAGGACTGGGGTTATATGAGAATAACGCCCAGTCCCCGTCAGCAACCTGGCTGCTCTGTTTTGTACCATCTGAAGTATCCAGATTGTCTTCAAGGGCAGCCCCATGTAGAGTGCATTACAGAAGTCCAACTGGGAAGTAACCAATACATGTGTCACTGTCGCTAGGCAATCGTCCTTACAGGATCCTTATTATAATATATAATTATTTTATTATATTATTTTGGAGGAGTTGATTCATAGGATCATGTAAGTTGGAAACCACTTGACAGCACGTAACAAAGTTATAATAATAATATCAGCATTTTTTCCCCACAAAAGCTTCCCCCTCGGTGGAGCCTGAAGCAAAAGCTTACGAGTCTTTGTGCAAAGGACTGTTTGGGAATTACACGCTGTAACACCTTCCACTGAGCCACCCACAATGCTCTCTCCAAATCCAGTTTCTTTCCCTCATGAAGGAGCAAGGAGAACATGCATTTCTGAGCCTAATTGGTGGCTGGCATGATGGGGTATGAGGTGAGGGGATGGGAACTGGGTCTCTTCAGCCTGGAGGGGAACTGCAGGGGATGGGGTATGAGGCGAGACTGAGGGAACTGGGTCTCTTCAGCCTGGAGAAGAGGAGACTCGGAGGGGATCTGTTGGTGACATTCAGGTATGTGAGGGGGTGTCACACGGAGGTGGGCCGAGACCTGTTCTCCCCTGCAGAGGAAGGCAGGACGCGCTCCAACGGAGCAAAGCTCAGGGAGCCAAGGTTCCGTTTGGAGGCCAGGAAGCACTTCCTGACAGTCAGGACCCCGAAGGTGTGGAATGGGCTTTCACGAGAGGTCGTTGAGGCCCCATCGGCACAGGTGTTCAAGGATAGGCTGGACGTCCACATGGTGGGCATGTCGTGAGCGGAGCCGGCTGGAGCCGGGGGTCAGACTAGATGGCCCACGAGACCCATCTGACTCGCTGTTTCTGTTTCTAGGATCATCACGGAAGGATCCTCTCCAGCTCCTTCCCACAAGGGGGCTTGGAAGGTGACAAGAAGGGAGAAGAGCTTCCCGGCGATGGCCCCTTCCAATCTTCAAGGCCTGCTCAACGTCAATGTTTCCTTACTCGGTGCCACACTAAGACCTTTCCCCCTCAGCCCGCGTTGGAGGCGGCTTTTAATGTAGGAGGTGTGACTTGGCGTCCTGCACCAGCAGGGGCTTGGCTGGCCCCGATGGCCTTCATGGTCCCTTCCTACTCTACTATTATTTTTTTTCGATTTATAGCCTGCCTTTTTCCTACAAAGGGCTCAAGGCAGCTTATATAATTCTCCTCCTCCATCTTATCCCCACAACAACAACCCTGTGAGGTAGGTTGGGCTGAGAGTCCGTGACTGGCCCAAAGTCACCCAGTTGGCTCCATGGCCGAACGGGGACTTGAACCCGGGTCGCCTGAGCCCCGGTTCCATGCTCTTAACCACTATGCCACACTGGCTCTGTTCTATGATGGAGCTCTTAATGTTTTGTTTAAAATTGTTAGATAAATGAGCGTCTCCAAATTGTACATTTTATGTTTGCATATATACATGTACATTGTTTTCATATGCATTTCTTATGAAAGGTTCTATGTATTTTTCACCGTTTCAGGGCTTTTAAACTGCCCAGAAAGTGCAACACTGAAATATAATGAATCTGTTCTGCCTTCTTCTCAGGGAGGGAGGTTTGTAATGTACTTTTCTGGTATTTTGGAGCCTATCAAATTGCTCAGAGGTGTCCTATTTTTTCCTCTCCATTAAATGCCTCCCCATTGCTCATTCACAAATGGAAGAATCCCTATTGGAGGAATCACTTTCTGAAGGATTGAGGTGTGGGACCCTGAGGAGGCAGAAAGGGATGACAGAAAACTTAGGTTCCCTTCTCAGCCATCTCCCAAGTAAGGGACACCCAAGAAAGCCAAACCCAGCCCACGAGTATTTCTCCAAAGTGTGGATTTCCTTCTGAAAGTACTTTCTTTTCCACCAGTTTGAAGGAGGATGGTCAAACACTCCGGGAGAAAAGGTTGGCATGTGAATAGTAATGTTTCGTGCTTGCCTAGGGTTCATAGGATCTGTCCTGGGCACCACCACAAAATGACTGCCATGGAATTGTGGATCCCGCTGCACATCCCCTCGGAAGCATCTTTTCTATCTGTCAGACCTCCATTTCCACACAGCCCTCCCCGCCATTTTGCCCCTCAGGACAAGGACATGGAAAGCAGCACCCACAACTGGCTTTGGACGATGCGGCAGCCCACACTCAAGGGCCAAGTGTGGCTTGCCACTGAAACATGGGTTACCGTGCTGTCTCAACCCAGTGCAGGCAACAAACCATGATGAACAACTCCTGGTTCACAACCTGACAAGCCATGGTTTCTTTTCTTGCGTTGTTTGTGGTTAACAAGCTAACATGTCTTGTTAGCTTGATTAGGATCAGACAACTTAATAACCCGTATTTCAACAACGTGCAGTTCAACGACAACTCACACTCAACCCTTGAGTGGGGATTCGCATAGTGTCTGAACCTGGTTTCACTCTTCCAGGATTCCACCAAAGTCTTCCACTAAACTCTGCAGCCACCATCCGTTCAGACATGAAGGCACTCAGCCCTCCAGCTGTTCTCAGCAGGCTCCCCCAGTCTTCCTCTGGCTCCTTCCTTCCTCCCTTCATTTCCCCTCTCCCTTCCTACCAGCAGCCAAAGATCTCCATTTAGGTGTTTTTTCCTGATATTCATTTATTTCCCCTTTCAGGAACCCAAAGCAGCTTATGCTGTCCTGCTTCTCTCCGCTGCCTCCCCCATCTGCTGACGTAGCACCAGAACAGCAGCCCTGGTAGTCGTAGGATTAGTCTGGGCCTCTGCTGCAGCTGCCCGGACCTCGATTAGCACAACCTGGGTGCCCTGTGGGAAGAGCTATAGAAAAGCTGGCTCTTCCTTCCAGAAGCTGCCTCAGCAACACAGGGATCCACTGTTCTTGGATCTTGCTGGACCTCTGCCTGAGTCTATTCTCACATCACCTTGTCCCTCTTCATCTCACCCTACCATGCCTTGTTCCTGAACCCCACCTGCCTATCCCGACCCAAGGTACCTACTCCTTGTTCTCACGTCTTGCTGGCTCTTGACCTCTTACCTGTTGCGACTGCACCTTGTCATGCTCGGATTCCTGGTGCCTGACCTTGGCCTGCTCTGTGACCACAACTTGGACTCGTCATTGGATGTGGCTCTTGGGCTAGGACCCTGTATCTCCTTGGGTCTTCTGGCCTGGCTCCCACAGGATCTACCTCGTTTCTTGCTGCCCATGTCCCAGATCCTGTCCTTCGGCTAAAAACTGGTGTGCCCAACTTGGGAAACATACTGCAGGTGGCTTCTTTCCCCTTTCCAGGCATGGTGGTCACATGCTGGGGAGATGAGCATCATCTGTGAGTGCTTGCGTCATGTGAACCCAACCAGCAGTGGCCTGTGGCTGTGGGCAACAAGCCACCCCAAACTCATGGCTTGCTGCAAGCAGACCCAGCCAGTGCCTGGCCCAAAGCCACCCAGTGCGCTCTATGGCTAAGCGGGGAACAGAACCTGGATCTCCTGAGTCTCGGTCCAAGACCCTAACCAGTATACCACACTACATCAAGAGTACTACCAGCAAGAAAGTTTGTTACTTCAAACTTGGGGCGCTGGCAGGCTCCGAAAAATACGTTCCGCTGCCCATTTTCGGTGTATCTTGATGTTCAGTGTTAGCATTATTTCATGTCCCATGCGGCAACTGGGAGACCTGAGGTAGGAGAGATGCTGGCCTAACCCATGAAAGGATTTCACGGCAGGGACAACATTCAAACTTCATTGCCTGCATTCCCCATTACCCTCTCCATGTTGTGTTAGTTGCAATGACAATTTCGGTCGCGTTGCCTAAATCGCACAACAGTAACGCCCTGGCTCAAACAGCTCTCCTTTTTCCAGCAGACAGAAGCTTGGGGGATCATGAAAAGCCCCCGAAAATAGGATCGACCAAACTTTTTATTAACTGACTATGCTTTCTCTTGTGCTTGCATTTTTTAAAGTGAAGGCTCACACTCCATTTCAAGTTCTCCAAAGGTCCAGAAATTGTTAGGATTTAGCGAGTTCCTTCCCAGGAAAGTTATTTGTAATGATTTCATGCATCTGCCCTCGTGGAATCTTTTCCAGCTCACAGAGCATTTCTAATGCTACTCTGTAATATGGATCATTTGATGTCTTTTGAGGTGGGCGCTGAAACTGAAGCTCTTTCCACACTCCATGCACTGATACGGCTTCTTTCCAGTGTGAATCCGTTGATGGGTTTTCAGGGCTGCGCTCTCAATGAAGTCCTTCCCACACTCTAAGCATTTATAGGGCTTCTCCCCTGTGTGGATCCGTTCGTGGGATTTAAGGTGCGAGCTCCAGTGGAAACTCTTCCCACACTCCAAGCATTTGTAGGGCTTCTCGCCTGTGTGGATCCTTTCGTGCAGCTTCAGGTTTCTCTTGTTGCGTAAAACTTTCCCACACTCTAAACATTTATAGGGTTCCTCCCCTGTGTGGATTCTTTGGTGAATTTTAAGGGCTCTGCTCTCACTGAAGCTCATTCCACACTCAGAGCATTGATAGGGCGTCTCACCGGTGTGGATTCTCTGATGGGTTTTAAGGTTCGAGCTCCAATTAAAACACTTCCCGCACTCCAAACATTTATACAGCTTCTCGCCCGTATGAATTCTTTCATGTATCTGGAGGCTCCTTCTGTGAACTAAAGTCTTTCCACAAAAGGAGCATTTGTATGGCTCTTCCCCTGTGTGAATCCTTTGATGGGATTTAAGGGTTATGCGATAACGGAATCGCTTTCCACATTCCAAGCACTGATACGGTTTCTCACCTGTGTGGATTCTTTCGTGCACCTTCAGGTTTATGCTTTTAAGTAAAGTCTTTCCGCACACGGAACAGGTATAGAGCTCATCACCTGTGTGGATTCTCTGACGACAGTTAAGGTCTGAGCTGTAGCTGAACTGATTTTCATATTCCAAGCACTGAAAGGGTTCCTGTTTCGTATGAACATTTTGATAGCTGCTAAGATGCATCTCCTCAGTAAAACTCTTTCCACGCTCAGAGTGCTTCCACAGTTTCTCCTGATTATAAGTATTCATTTTATTTGCTTCAAAAGATTCTTCTGGGATCGGATGCTGTTGGAAGTTGGTCCCTTCATAACAACTGGATGTGTTTCCCCACTTCTCTTCATCCTCAACTTTCAGTCTTAGCTGCTTGCCACTGTGATTGCTTTCAATCCCATCAACTGAAAGAAGAAAAACAGAAGAAAACCAATGGTGTGTAATTTGGATGATTAGAGCAGTGGGGAGAAAACCCCCACTCCAAATAAATTAAATGTATTTATTTTAAAATTTTGTATGTCACCACCACATGCCAAGGCATGTCGGGATGGCTCACAATATATACAATTAAAAACAATAAAATAATTTTTACAAATAACAAATTCAATAAACGATTATATAAAAACAAAAAACCGAAAACAAAAAGAGCAACTGTTAACAATAAAATATTAGTTTTTAAAATGGCGATTAAATAAAAAGGTTTTAACCTGGCGCCGAAAAGAATATAAACTCAGCACCAGGCGCACCTCTCCTGGGAGCGTGTTCCATAATCTGGCCACCACTGCAGAGAAGGCCCTGCTCTGGATAGTTGTTCTTTTTATCTCAAGAGGGCTCCCGGAGCAGAGCCTCTCCCACAGATCTTAAGGGGCATGAGGGCATGTAAGGGAAGAGGCGCTCCTTCAGGTATCCTGGTCCCAAGCTGTCCGATAATGGATAGACATGACAACGAGAGAGGGAAACAGTTTCTTATTTATTTAGGATAGGTGTTGACAGCCTTTTAGATCACACTGGCTCAGTTTGCACGGTTTTTTAAAGATCTCTGGGAGGCTCCGAGGACGCCAGCAGGTGGGTGCAGATAGCTCACTTGCTCTTCTTTGGGTCCTCCTGGCAGCACAAGCTGCAAAAACAATGAGTGCAGCTTGTCAGGGGAGAGACAGGCCAGAACTCTGGGTCTGGACATCACAGGAAGCAAGGCAGGGACAAACCAAGCAGATGGTCAAGACGCACACACCCGCAAGCTGGGGTGCTCCTGGCATCCTGGCTGCTGTGATGGGCAAGTCCTCCCATGTTTGATGGGTGTGTGGAAAAGGGCCTTCTCTTGCACTGTTCCAGAACTCTGGAACACAGTCCTTCGAGAACTACTCTATTTCACTTTTCAAAAGGAACTAAAGACGCCTATTTAAATCAAGGCTTCTTAATCTTTACTGCAATATTTTTCTTTCTTAATGCATTAACCATCTATGGTTTCGTAATATTAAAGAATGGAGAAATAAGCAGGACTGCTTTGAAGAGGTGCGGTGTCACCACTACAGAATGGCAGGGCGGAACTGCGGCGCATCCTGCAAAGCAAAGGGATGAATACTCAAACAGAGCAAATATTCCATCCTTTCGATGGGTCTGGGAAGGGTATCTAGTCCAAGAGCACTTCACTGGATGGCGAGAGAGCCTTAAAAGCACATGCTCAAAGAAGCAACATCAGCTCAGAGAAGAAACATTTACCTGTCTTCACACCAGAGGATGCCCAGCATATGCATATTCCTCAGGAATTAATTAATTAATTAATTAAAAACTTTTGTATGCCGTCCTAATATTCAAATTCTCAGGACGGCTTACAATATTTAAAAGAACAATTAAAACAACAATTTCTGATAAATAATAGAACCAAAACAAAACAATAAATCACAAAGCAGAGCGACTGAAGGTTACAAGTTGTTAAATTTTACAATACTGTTTAAATAAAAAGGTTTTGCCCTGGTGCTGAAAAGAGTATAAGCTTGGCATCAGGTGTACCTCTCTGGGAAGTACTTTCCAGAGTCTGGGCGCCACAGCAGAGAAGGCCCTACTCCAAGTTGATGACCTTTTTACCTCTCTTAGAGAGGGTTCCCAGAGCAGGGCTTCTCCTGCAGATCTTAAGGGGCGTGAGGGCATATAAGGAAGGAGATGTTCCTTCAGGTGGTCCCAAGCCGCTTAGGGCTTTATAGGTCAAAACCAGCACCTTGATTGGGCCCGGACTTCACCTGGAAGCCAGTGGAGCTGGTAGAGGACCGGAGTTACATGAGAGTAATGGCCGGTCCCCGTCAGCAGCCTGGCAGTTCTATTCTGGACCAGTTGCAGTATCCGGACCGTTTTCAAGGACAGCCCCACATAGAGCATGTTGCAGTAATCCAAGTGGGAGGTTACTAGAGCATGAATCACTATTGCTAGGCAGTGTTCATCCCTACGAACTGAGTCAGACGGCAGCGGTAAGAGATGAAATTCTCAATCATACTGGCAAACAATCCTACCACCATGCCCAGATGGCATCCTCCCAAGAATCCTTACAGAGCTCAAATAATTGCGACCTTAAAAAATGCAGCATGTTGCTAAGGACCACCCTCTCCCACAAAGGACTGGAGAAAGGCCAGCATAGCAGAAATTTTTAAAAGAGGATCTGGGAAATTAAAGGCCAGTTACCTTAATGTCTGCCTCAGGAAAATTGGTTGAAATCATTATTAAAAATCATTTCAGTAAGCACATAGAGGAACAAGCCCTGCTTAAAAAAAAAAAAAAAAAATCAACATGGGTTCCAAGAAGGCCAGTCGTGTCTCACCAACCTACTGGAGTTCTGTGAGGGTGTGAATAAATATGTGAGCAAGGAGAGTTTGTTTACTCGGACTTCCAAAGCCTTTTGACTTCGGAAGAGTCCCTCACTAAAGGCTCCTGAGCAAATTAAGCAGTCATGGAATTAAAAAAACAGGGGTGTCATCTTATAGTTTATTAACTGGTTAAACAAGAGAGTGGAATTTAGTGGCACTGTCTCTCCATGGGGAGATGTCACCAGTGGAATCCCACAGGGATCTGTACTAGCACTTTTTAACCTACTCCTGAATGATCTAGGAGTAGGAATAACTTGTGAAGTGGCTAAATTTGTTGATGGCACCAATGATTTAGGGTGGTTGAAACCAAATGGAGTGTGAGGAGCTCCAAAGGGAACTCTCCAAGCTGGGAGAATGAGCATCAAAAGGACAAATGCACCAAATAGATTAGCTAAGATGTTTCCAAATTGTTGAAAATGTAACAATTGAAAATGTAACAACATAAATTGTTGAAAATGTAACAACATAAATTGGGTACTTTCTATCATATGTGGTGGACTTGCGATAACACGAAAAAGTCTTGGATTAAAATACATAAATGGCTTGAGGAAATGTTACAAAAACCTTTAGCTTTTAAACCTGAAGTCTTCTTATTAGGCATTATATCTGCTGATATTAGTAAACAAGACATGTATTTGATTTTACATGCAATTACTGTGGCGAGGATTGCATTTGCCCAACCCTGGAAAAGTGAAGAACCACCCACCAATGAACTGATCCTAAAAAAGATCTTGGACTGTGCAGAAATGGACAGATTGACTTTGTCACTGAAGGAGAAAGAAGATACTGACTTCTATCAAACTTGGGACTCTTTTTATTATAGGCTAGAGAAAGGGACTTTGTATAGATTTAAATATGTTTCTAAGTTATCACAAATGGAAAAAAAATGTGGGGGCTGACCCAGCAGGTCCAACGTTTTTGACAATTGATGTTGTTTTTAGTTTTTCTTTGTTTTTAGGATTATAATTTTGAATAAAACTTATTTTTTTAAAAAAAGGACAAATGCAGTTCAATGTAAGGAAGTATGTACAGAAATGTATGTTGGGGCAAAAAAACGAAGCTTCAAGGATACTCTGACGGGATCTGAACTAGCAGCGACTGAGCGAGAGAGGGATCTTGAGGCAGGGCTGGGCAGCTGGATGGAAACGTTGTCCCAAAGCTCAGCTGCTGTGAAGAAGGCAAACTCCATGCTAGGTGTGACTGGAAAGGAATTAGGGAAAGAAAATATACTCCCTTTTTACAAGTCTTTGGTGCAGCTGCAATTAAAGCATTGCATACAGTTCTAGTCACTGCACCTAGAAAAGGTCGTTGCAGTTGGAAAAACTGCAGAAAAAGGCAAATGAAATTATCAAGGGGTTAGAGCAACTTCCCTATGAGGAAAGGTTGCAACAGCTGCTATTGTGTAACTTAGGAAGGGGGTGAGTGAAGAGGAGAGATGAGAGAGGTGTTCAAAATTATGCCTGGTATGGAGAGGATGACATTTTTCTTCCCCAGCGCTAAATCCCAAAGGGGTCACCCCAAGAGGCTGATTTGTGGGGGCTTCTGGGGAGACAAAAGGAACTCCACTCAGTGCATAGTTAAACTATGAAATACACTTCAGCAAGAGGTAGTGAAGGCCATCAGTTTGGACAGCTGAAAAAGGACCTGGACAAATTCCTGGAGCAGAAAGATCTCCATGGCTACTAGTCCTCATGGTCACACGCTGCCCCCACACGCTGCCTCCAGTACCAGAGGCAGTCTGCCCTTGTTCCCCAGCTGCTAGGAGACCATTGTGCTCAAATCCTGCAGAGTTGGTGTGCCACTGTGTGAACAGAATACTGGACTAGATAGTCTAGATCAGTGGTTTTCAACCTTTGGTGGGGACAGTGAAAACAGGAAAGCTACCTCAGGGACTACCAAGGCCGAAACAAAAAGCACCATACACATAATACAGTATTCTGTGCAGCAGTTTCCAAACACAATACCAAAAAAAATGAAAATTCTCCAAAACAACCAGAAAATGAGCAACAAAACGCCAATAAAAGAACAGCATACCAAAATTGGCTTCCAGTTGGCTCCCACCGAACCATCTCTCCCCTCCCTGCCTCCCCGACCCCCGTGCACCCCTGCAAGCACAATGCCAACTGAGGACGAGATGGTGGAGCACAGCCAGCCCCCATGCCAGTCTATGGAGAGCAAGATGTGGCCCCCTCCCCACAGGCTAGTGGGAATCTCCCACAGGCTGGTGGACCTGCTCTAGATAACACTGGACTAGATATTCTAGATAGTCTAGAATCCTGAACTAGCAGGCTTTTCTTATATTCTTATGACAAGAACTCCATTGACATATTGAAGTTTAAGAAATCAGGTCCAGATTATAGCCATTCTGGATTTCTTAAGAACTCAGATATGAAATTGCTGATATTCGACAAAAAGAAACACAAGATCAGCCTTTCGACTAGAGAAGTGAAGGAAGGCCAATAACACCCATATTTAAAAAGATCCTGGCAGATCTGGGAAATTACTTTTCTGTTATCTTGCAGGCAACTTGGTTAAAGGCATTATTAATACAGAAGGATAAGGCCTGCTTAAAAAGAAGACTCAACATAGCTTCAAGGAAAGAAATTCCTGTCTCAGGAACTTTTTAAAGTGAGATTGTTTAGAGATTGTTTACTTGGATTTCCTAAAGGCTTTTGACAAAATCCCCCATACTATAAATCTGTAGTGTAACCATGCTAGAATTCCAGCGCCTTGTTTAGATCTTGTATCTCCTGGACAGAGGAATGAACGTGGAAGGTTAATGTTTGTAATAAGAAGGATCAGTCTGCTGAGAGAAAGTGTTTACTGCTTTAAAACCTTGCTCTGGATTCAAACATATGGCTTTGTAAGCCGTCCTGGAATGTTTCTTTCTGATAGGAAAGGATATAAATATTTTAAATATAAATGTGTTTATATTTATTTTTAAATATAAATGTGTCGAAATATAAAAAAGAAGATGCAAATAAGATGTGAATGGCAGACACCCTGGTCACAGCGGAGGGAAGCCCGTCGTGGGACGAGTCAAGCCAAGCATCACCAAAGTGATCAAAAGCCACGGTGAGGCTTTGCAATGAGGCCAGCTCAGAGGAGAAGGAAGTGAATGTTCTACCTATGCTTTTTATTTTATTTATTTTTTTATTTGGAATTTTTGTATGCCGTCCCATTCACATAAGCCTCGGGATGGCTTCCAACATATAAATAAATATCTATACAAATACATATAAAATCTGGAAACATCCTGGCAATACTTTAAAACCAATAAATAAAATCAGCACTTGTTAAAATATTGTTTAAATAAAAAGGTCTTATGCTTTAGGGACATCACTGGCCGTTGTGGATCTCAGCTACACCCCACAATGTTATTATTGTTAGATTACACTTCTGTCTGAGCTCCTTCTCCGCTTGTGAGGAACCCAAGGCGGCTTACCGTTTGGCCTAACAACAGTTTCAGGAAGTAGCTGGGCTGAGAGTTTGGGACTGGCACGAAGTCACCCAGAGAGGCTCATGCCCAAGTGGGGACTAGGACCCAGATCCTGAGTCCAATCTCTAGCCACCGTAGCACACTGGCCCTCCAATGTGCAGTTGAAAACAATATTCCATAATTCTTCTTTCTCGGATCTGTCCACAAGGAAAACAAGAATCCCAGTCCAAAGAGGTGACATTCCTCACCCAGAGAAGCCAGGTTCCCGTAATTCTCCTCCATGACAACCCGGTGCAGAGCCCTCTGGCCCGGATCCAGCAGCGCCCACTCCTCCTCCTCGGTGAAATGCACAGCCACCTCCTCAAAAGTCACCAGATCCTAAAAGAGGAAGAAATCGTTTTCTCTTGTAAACTAACAGTCCAAACGGACAGCAAAGCCAAGGTGGTTGGAGGTTCTCCTGCAGGACTCAGAGCTTCAAACGGGCTTGCAAATCTTTCCTAGGAATCTCCTGAAATTGAAGTCAGGGCCCAATTAAGAGGTTGGTGATGACTTATAAAGCCCTAAATGGCTTAGGACCATCTCCTTCCCTATGTGCCTGCCCACCCCTTAAGACCTGAGTCAGAGGTCCTTTTTCGGGAGCCCTCCTTGATGGAGATTAATAGGGTGGCTACCTGGAGAAGGGCCTTCTCTGCAGTGGCACCCATTTCTGGAACTTGCTCCCTAGAGATGTGTGCCTGCTGCAGACACTTGATTCTTTTCGGCACCAGGTGAAAACCTTTTGATTTCCCCAGTATTTTTAGGTTTAGATTATGATTTTAACTGGGGTTTTATTGTACAGAATCGATGCTATGCATTACTTTGTTTTATTGCAAGACCGTCCCGAGACGATTTGGCAGCGGACGGCATAGAAAAGATTTAAATAAATAAGTAAAAGCTGAGGAAACGGGGCAGATTCTTCCACGCCCAGGGCGGGGTGCACGGGATAGGGGCCGCAGAGGCTTCCCTACCTGCTCTGTTTGCACAGAAGCAGTCTCCATTCCGCGATAGGGAGGATTCGGGGCAGGCCTCCCTCGAGTCGCTTCTCCCTCCCCAAACACTGTTCCATTTCCTGCGAGCAAGACCAGAAAAGCAACAAGGTCATCTGCATTCCAGTTGCTCGAGTGCGAGCCATCATTCTCTGTCCCCCCCTTCTGTCGGGACACCATTCGAAGCGCTGTTTTTATTTCTACAAAGTCTGAACCTGTTGAAGCCCCGACTTCTTTTCCGAATGCATCGGAAGAATGTCTCCCCCTCCCCGTGTTGTAACGCGCCCTGCCAGGCCTTACCCAGCAACGCAGGGCCTCGGTCACCATCCTGCACATTCCACCGGAACAGTGGCTTCTTTGTTGGATCCGAAGGAGCCTTCTCGGCTTCAGGGAAATCTCTGGCCACTTTTGCTCCTCTCCCCTCCACCTGGAGCAGGGATGAGGAGTCCAGGCAGAAGAGAAGAAAGCAGATTAGGAAGGGAGAGAAACCTGCTTGCCAAACTATCTGCATTCAGGCCTCCTTCTGAAGGTAGTGGACTTCCTAAACTCTGCAGCCATACCTTTCGTAGGTGGACACATGCAGGTTTTATGTCTCGTTCTTATTACATTGCATTTATCACTTGCCTTTATTTCTTTTGCGAGGAACCCAAGGCAGCCTATTTTAACTCCACATTATCCTCACAAAAACAACCCTGTGAGGTAGGTTCAGCTGAGTGTATTGGATTGGCCCAAAGCCTCCCAGGGAGCTCCATGGCCTTCATGGCGATCTGGGATTTCCTAACGCTAGTGTGAGAAAAGCACTAAAAAGCTGCATCCAGGACTCCCTCTTAAAACCAGTTCAGAGGAGAGAATGAAACTCTCAGATCCTCCGTGATGCTCAGCGGCTTCTGCTGGGCATTTCAAGTGGAATGAGCCACGGTGAGTTTGTTATTCTTTATGCAATGCCATGGTATCCTGACAGACCATCCAGTTCACTGTGGGCTGTCCAAACACCTTTCCCCAGTGGTCCTTCCACAGGTGTGCCAGGAGGCACCACGGCAGGACAGAACTGTCCCCTTCTCCTTGCTCCGATCCTGAGCCACTTTCAGCTGGTTGCAGATTTTTTAAAAAATCCCTTTAACGTTTGCTTTTTGTGGGGATTACAAAACCCGGCCTGCCAGCTGGCTTCCATTTCGACAGCCACTGACAGTCCCTTCAAAGTGCCCAAGCAGGACACTGGATGAGCTGTCACAGGTAGAAAACGCTATTTGTAAAAGAATTGCATCCACAATGGGCGTTTTCTCTCTGTGTGTGCATTCTTAATACAGCTGAGCAACACTATTTATTTATTTATTTTTCGATTTATATCCTGCCTTTTTCCTACAAAGGGCTCAAGGCAGCTTACACCATTCTCCTCCTCCATCTTATCCCCACAACAACAACCCTGTGAGGCAGGTTGGGCTGAGAGTCTGTGACTGGCCCAAAGCCACCCAGTTGGCTTCATGGCTGAGCGGAGACTCGAACCCAGATCGTCTGAGTGCCAGTACCACGCTTTTAACCACTGCACCACACTGGCTCTCACTAGAGGTGTGCAATTCTGTGAATGTAGCAACGTGAAGTCCCAGGCTGGGTCAATATCCCAGGGTAGCAGGTACCAATCAAGGATACTGACCAAAAGGGGATCAAAAGAAGCTTTTCCCCCGCTTGGGTTTCTTTCTCTTGACAGCTGTCAAAAGATGAGCTGTCACAGGAAAGCAAAGGCAAAGGATCTTGGATGGTAAATTGGGGGGGGGGGGTGTATTTACATCTCCTTTGTGGCAAGATCCTCTTTCTGTCTCTTTTCAGGTGCTCTCACTTTTCCAGTTGTTCCCCTTGCGATGTCTCCTTGGGAAGATGGGAAAGTGTAAGCCGCTCTATTGAAAAAGGAATTTGATGTCTGGAGGAATGTAAAAACTCTGTGTCTGTTTAGAAAGGGCCTCTTGATGGGGCATCTCATGGTTTGTTAAACAGGTGTGAATGCAAGCAGAACCTGCAGGTGAGAAAGCTGGCGGTAGGGGGAACGTGGTGATTGATGCATTACTGGCAGCCCAAAAATGTTGGGATGGGAGGGGAGGGGGATTGTAAAGACGTCAGTCCTCTGAGGCTCCCCGATCAAAATGTCCTCACCTGCACCTGCTCCTTTTCTTCTGCCTGGCTCA